TTTCAATTTCGGGCAAAAAGTCAAAAAAAAAAAAACACACACACGGGTGGATCGCATGGCCGTAGCAGTGCAAACGAGGGATGGCCTTGAGAATAAAAATTCCACGGCCAGGTCCATACAACAGGGGGTTTCTCAAAGGATGTCAGAAAAAAAAAAGATAAAACTAAAAAAATCATCCCAATAAAACAACCACGCCGACTGGAACATATTGCGTCTATCAGACGCGGCGCGGGTCCAATATCACGGATCGTGGAGTTCCGCCCTGATGCGCTCGTCCCAGCATTAATCTAGTTTCGACTCCAGGGCCTGGTGGCCTACTTTTTGACCTTCCAGATCTTCACATTTGCAGACGTTCTGAATTCAGTTGTTCCCCCCGCTGCTCAGACTGCTCCGGCTGCTGCTCGTTGTTGGATCCTCCCTGGGAAACTGTTACACAGTCAGATCCCGCTACAGCGCAAACCCGGCCAGCTATATCAATCGGCCCGCAAAAGATCACATTGAACGCTCACCAGCTGACTGGCCTTGTCCTCGGCTCGTTTGGGAGGAAGTTCTGTCACCCCCGGCAGTCTGGGACTGGAGGCGCCTCTCGGCCTCACGGATGCGATTCTGCAGCTCTTCCAATTCGCGGTTCTGGATCAACATCTGCTGCTTCCTTTGGGGTTGAGATTAGCACTATGAAAATGGGTATTGTGATAACAATGAGAGTCGCGTGCGATATCGGTGGTAGGGAACTATTAAGTGCCACTCACTTCTGGTCGATAGTTTGCGAAAGGTTATTGACATCAGAGTCTAGCATAAAGGCGCTGTCCAAGGCCGACGAGAAGGCTTGCGCCATGGTCCTGAAGGTCACGGTTAATGCCACTATTCGGAGATTGGACGACAATATAGGGAAACGAACGACTGAGGCCGGGCCTTCGGCTTCCACTCGCGATCCATGTCAGACATTCTGCGTGGCAATCGTTTGATCTTTGGTCTCAATAGTTTCTGTAATCACAGAACGGGTCCCAACAGTCCAACGGCGGCAGAGGGGTGTGCGACCTTGAGACAGGCGGGGCAAGAGCAAGTTGCGGAATTAAGATATTAGGCGGTTTAGGTATCGTCGAGACCAGGACCAGCCAAGAATCAAGCACGGATGAAACTGAATCGAGGATATTGATGCTGTTTGGGGGGGAAAGGCAGTGTTAGTGCTCTATACTTCTCGACAGATAAGCCACAATCTGGTGGGGAGGTGAAAGAAATACCGGGATATCAATAGTAGTCGCGATGAACGGATAGAAGAGTGATAAGCAAAGAACTTTGGAGACCTGCCAGGAAGCTAAAGGGGGGGAAAGAAGAAGGGGAGAAGTGCGAAATTGAGAGATGATCATAGCCCACCGACTATGTTACTAGTCGCGGTAATTGGAGGTCCCATATATCTCCACCGGCAAGGAGAGAGCTTGTAAGTGTTACAACTGTATTACAGGGGTTCTACGCCATTATGTATCGCATTTTAATGATATATAGGGGTTTTGTTTCAGGGGTTGACTACATATTTTAAGTTACTTCCATGGTTAAATGCTTCTTATTTTCATATCTGTTTACCCCAATATAGAGAAATAGGGGTTGATTGTACATACATAGTACAGATGTATGCATGGAGCACTATGTATGTACTTGGCTCATCTTACAAAGGGTAATTAGGAGATTAAGAAATTAGGAGACTTTCTTTTATAGAAAAAGGCAAAATAACCCCTGACATGGGTTTTAAGGCAATTAGGGGGATTTTCATTATAAGTACTCCAATACTACGGAGTACAGTACATAGGCTCAGTTTTACCAGAAAATAAAGATAGAAAGCCGAAAATGTCTATGCTTTCAGATATTATAGAAAATTTCAGATCTATACAACATAGATTTATAGATGGACTAATATAGACGAAGTACGTCGTAAGTTGCATACATATGTAAGTTGCATTCTGGTAGATTCCTCCCTAGCAACTGGTCACATGACCTATACCGTACAGTACAATGGCATCGTGATCGATGTCTTCCCCAATTTCAATCTCTATTTCCATTTCCATCGTCATTTCAATTCTACCAGGGCATTTCATCTCGTCGCTTCGTCTAGCCCTAAATTTGACGCGTTTTCCCTGACCCGTTGCGGTCGCCGTTCATTTTTTTTTCCCGCTCATTTTTCCGCGCGGATAGATTCGAGGTCTATGCGTATTGCGTTTCAAGCCTGTCGCGTTGGCTATCTCTAAATACTAGCCAACCAAGCCAACCTAGTACCCGAAATTCGCAGTTCGGCGACACCAAACACTTTCCGTGCCCATCCTGATCGCCGACCACCGACCACCGTGGCCCCCATCCTAAAAGCCTTTCCCCCCAGTGGCCGACCGGACGGGCAATGGGGGATGCCTCCTCTGTCGGCATACACTTCGTTTGAGTCCCTTCTGTTCTTCCAGTCCCTAGCGACTTCTGATTCCCGACCGACAAGTTTCGGCTCAATCTCAACCCTTTTGCGAAACAACCAGCTCGTGCGCGAGAATGCCGATTTCGATGCCGATCGCCTGACCCCGGAGGCGCTGGAAGATCTTTATGCGACATTGATGCGCGATGGATTCAGTCGTGATGGTGCGCTCCCGGTCAATGGACGACCCGCAGATACGTCTGGTCCGCCTAATCCAAAGAAACGCAAGATCTCCAGCCCGCGACCAGAGGGATGGACCGGCGGATTCACCCATGCCACGCTTGTCCCAGAGCTAGTGGCACATCTTTACGCCAAATACAGAGATCTAGTCACCAGAGAAATTAGGGACGATGAGAAAAAGTACACAGAAATCAGGGCTGAGCTGGAACGGCTACAGCAGGAGGACGACAAATCAGCCGCTGCAGCAGCTACAGCACCTACGACGGTGAAGCCGGTGCCCATCGAAGGGAAGGATGCTGTTCTGAAGGAGGAAGAGACCCCGCGCCCAGATGTACAAGATCAGACAGCTCAACCACTTGCGACGACCGTCCCGATCGCCCACGACACAGCAAAGCCCGAACCACGGCACATCGCAATAAATCTGCCCCCTACGACAAACGAATCTCTGAAAATACACCCCGCGCCTCCTGTGAGCCAACCGCAAGCTCCACTTCCCCAAGCGCAGACCCCGACGCCCAAACCGCAAGACATAGCTGGACATGCACCTCAGCCGCAGCCCACCACGACTCATCCCCTACCAAAACCGTCCATCCAACCTCCACTTGCTCCATCTACCCAGAAAGCCCCTACAACGACACCAGCAGGGCCGCAAGTCACACCAGCACATCCGTCGCAAATTGCACCTCGTGCCAATCCCGTCCCACCTGCGCCCATCGTCACTGGTAAGGCTGGGCCGCTGGCGCCGGCATCCCAACGAACCCCCGCTCAGCCGAGTTTCCAGCAGTGGCAACTGGATCCTTCTCCCCACTCACCATACCCGGTCGTCTCCCCAGGTGCTACTACGCCCCAAGCAGCCCAGGCTACTAACAAGCGACCTGTACCACCGCTTTCCACTAACCCGCCTTTGCCAGGGTCACAAGCCCAGACTCCCATTCAACCTCCTGTTCCACAAACACCCAGCGCCATTCCGTCTACAGTTCACACGCCTGTCCCAATTGGCCGCCCGCGTGTTTCTCAAACCCCGAGTGCCACGTTCCCCTCTTTCTCCGAATCGCGCGCCTCCCATCCACGTCTGTCAATTGACACGCAAGGATCCTCCACACCATGGAAGAGAACTCCTCGCCCGAGGGCTTCGCGCTCTCCGACCTCACCGCCACGGCCACGGCCGGAGGACGTCAGTCCCATCAGTGAACGAGGCCAATCACCCGTTGATGCGATGGAAATGTCACCTCCCCCGAGAATCAATCTAGGCGAACGAGCTCAATCTGTGGAAGATAAGAAACCACGACGTGGCCAGCCTAACACAAAACCAGCTCCTATCAAGACCGAGAAACTCCCTTCAATGCGGAGGACGCGTGCCGCAAGTTCGGCATCCTCTCGAAGTCGCGGGCGATCCATGGCTTCGCGTGATGGGTCTGCTGCACCCTCGGAAGACACCGTGCGTGAATCACGAGCAACGGGCCGCCGAAAGGGTGCAGCTGCTACAGACGAAGGGACTCCGAAACCACGGACAAAACGTAAACGCGGCGCAAGTGAAGCAGTGGAACTTGAACCCCATCCGGCGGATATCCCGAGATTCGACACGACTCAATATGTCATGGCTACGCGCAACTTCCACCGGACCGCGGCACCGATTATGAACGATGTAGCCACCCACAAGCTTGCCTCGATCTTTGCCAAGCCAATTAGCGAGCGCGATGCCCCTGGGTACCACGATCTCATCTATCGGCCATCTGATTTGAAGTCGATCAAATCTGCCATCCACCAGGGAAGCAAAGCCGTCGCCACCGCAGGAGAATCAGCCAGCACCCCAGCTGGAGAGGGAGAGTCTCCCGCTCCTGGTGGCACACCGTCCAAAAGCGGCGTGCTCATGTTACAGAAGAATGAGGAATTCATACCACCCAAGGGAGTTGTGAACTCCGCACAGCTAGAAAAAGAGTTGATTCGCATGTTCGCCAACGCTATCATGTTCAACCCAATTCCTCAGCGAGGATTCGGACCAGCCTTCCCCATGTCTAGTGACCGTGGTTCGCGCGAGAGTACTTACCTGGGCGACTCCGACGAGGGCGGTATCATCCAGGACTCGCTGGAGATGTTTGAGGATGTTCAGCAGGCTGTTACTCGATGGCGGGCTGCTGAACGCACTGCCGATGAATTGGCTAATAAGAATGTCCTCTCCCTTCGGCGTGGAAGTGCCAGTGATTTCAACACTGACAGTACTGATGATGTGAAGGGGTGATGGATTCCGAACACCATCTTGTATTATGAACTTTGTATTTGATTAGGATCTGTTTATTGGATTTGGAAATGAAATGCTATGATCTCTTTCGTCGGCGCCTTCGATAGCCCGGCGGTTATTAATACTCCTGTTCTCTGTGTGATATACTTTACTTTCGTGATGTTCTAAACGGAAACATATCAACGTGTATAACATTGTCATGACCTTTCAGCCGGAGCCAGTCCTGCTGCCTGAGTCTATAATGGGGTATATATTTTCTATTTTCAACAGCCAACCTTTTAAGCCTGCTCTGGCTTCGTCCTCCCAAGCCCCTCCTTGGCATAGAAGTCCATCGGATACACGCCCTTATTCCCAGTATCCCAGTTCTCTCGCACACCCAGCGCAACAAGCGCCTCATATGGCGTCAACAGCGGCCGCGGGAACGCATATCCCCAATCAATACTCAACCGCGGACAAGCAATCTGCACCCAGCACTCCACATCCCCCATAGACGCCAGCTTTCCAGGGAAGATCTCACTCAACAGCAGGTTGACGATTGGAATCCCGCGCTCGCGCAGGTGTCGCTCGATCATCGCCATAGTGTGCGGGTTACCCTGTCGACCGAGCGAGCCGAGGATAATCCCCCACTTTCTCGCGGTTTTGGCTGTGGCGATCGCGTCCCGGCGGATAGTGTGCATCTCCTCGTGCTCGTAGCTCTCGCGTGTCAGGGTTCGCGAGTACGGGTCGTACCGGTAGGCTGGGATGGAGGGGTTGTGGATCATGGCGGATTCGAGGTGGAAGCGGCCGTCCCCGAGGTAGAGGATTGCGTCAATTTCGGTTTCGGAGAGTTGAGGTGATGTGCAGCCCAGAATCTCGCCTTTGGAGAGTGGGGTAATTTGTGGGATTATGACGCGGAAGCCGGCGCGCTCTAGGACGGGTTTCAGTCCGTGTAGCGTCGCGTTGAATTGGATCGTGCCTACGGTAGCAATCGACTGGCCTGGCTTGAAGTTGCGCTCTAGTGTTGCGAGGAGATGGCTTGTGTCGATGCTGATGTCCACGAAGATGTACAGCGTTTTGATCTGAGTTACGTCGACTGGGATCAGGCAGCTGTGCGCGTAGTGTACTAGCAGATCGCAGCCTAGAGCACGCGCCGTGTAGTCGTCGATGCAGCAGGCGCCGTAGGTGACGTCGCCCATGATGAGGGTTTCGATTCCAGGGCAGAACTGGGTTAGGATGTCGGAGATGGTGGTCGCAAAGATGAGGAGGCCCTCTGGGAATTGGAGAGCTACTCGCTTGGCTCCTGACGTGCGGACTCGGTGGATTGTCTTCGGGATCTCGAATGAGTAGTTCTTCGGGAGAAGCTCCATTGCTTCTTGGATCTCGGGATCGTTCAGAATCTCTGGCGGCACTTGATTGAGGGTGCGGGGGGTTCGTCTGGGAGCGGCTACAGCAAGTGGAAATTAGTATATGTATCTCAATCGAGCCAGAGGAAGACCTGTACATGTTTGCACCGCTGTGGACTCAACATCTTTCTGACTGGTCGTATCCTTCTGCGCATGGGCATCTGCTGTTCGTCGTCCGACAAATCTCTTCTTTGGTTGCCGCATTTGGCTAGTGGATTGTGAGCCATCCTCAGTAGAGGGCGATGGAATATTTGGCTCCATAATATCCAGCTGCAATATGTGTGGAAATTTTCAGAAGTTGAACTTTTCACTGATCTTGATCAAATATTGGAATTGATATCATCCCACTTCTTTTTTCTGCCGACTGACTCAGCAAAAGGTGGGGTGATCAACTAGTCCGGAAGTGGTAAAGCGCTCTCCGCATTCTCGGCCTCCGACTGTTCCATTCTCAAAGCTTCTCCTGTTACCTTTTATTTTTTTTCAGTTCAGGTTGCTGTGATCATACAAATCGGCCTAAACTCAACCATGATGACAGCTCGCCCCCGGTTGAGTTTGTTCTCAGCCCTGCGCTCTCCATATTCTGTACGCCGCTTCGCAACCGAGTCGCGGTTAACCTCGGACCATGTCCGCATCGTGGAAGTTGGCGCTCGAGATGGACTGCAAAATGAGAAGAAATCCATTCCAATGCAAACAAAGCTTGAGTTGATCGAGCGACTGGCTAAGACGGGTGTTACCACCATTGAAGCTGGCTCATTTGTACCCGCAAAATGGGTACCCCAGGTATGATCTGCTGTGCAGCGTCGCGTGGTACGGTGATTTCGGGCACAGAAAGCTGATGATTGGTTATATCATGACAGATGGCAAGCACAGCTGAAATTTGCGAGCATCTTCTCATAAAACCGCCGAAAGCACAGTCTACAATCGCATACAACTATCTTGTTCCCAACATCAGAGGACTGGAGAACCTGGTCAAGCTACTTGACGATACAGGAGTCCCCGCGGACGCGACTGGAGAGACATCGAAGGCAGCGACAACTACGGAGGTGTCTCTTTTTGCAGCAGCAACGGAAGCTTTTTCGAAAGCTAATACCAACTGCTCCATCGCCGAGTCACTGGAGCGAATCAAGCCGATTGTCTCATTAGCAAAGACCAAGGATATCCGGGTACGCGGCTATGTTTCTGTTGCACTAGGATGCCCCTATGAAGGCCCGGATGTGGATCCTGTCAAGGTGGCTGATATTACCGCCACGCTGCTGGAGATGGGAGCGGATGAGGTCTCAGTGGCGGACACAACGGGTATGGGCACCGCTCCCCGGACCATGGAGCTTATGCAAGCGCTCAAGGCTGCTGGTATCGCTAATACAGATTTGGCATTGCACTTCCATGATACCTATGGACAGGCCTTGGTGAACACAATCGTCGGGCTGGAGCATGGTGTCCGTATTTTCGACAGCAGCGTGGGTGGGCTCGGTGGTTGCCCATATTCCAAAGGTGCGACGGGAAATGTGGCGACCGAGGACCTCGTGCACACTATTCATAGCTTGGGTATGCATACGGGGATCAGCCTGGATGAGATGTCGAAGATTGGAGGTTGGATTAGTGGGGAGTTGGGCCGAGCTAATGGTAGCCGGGCTGGAAAGGCGACTCTCGCTCGTCTCGCGGGAGAAAAAGCGTCGCTCTGATCAGTTTGCGCTATAGCCTGTGCTTGTCATTGGTCGGAGTGTTTATTAGTTCCCAACGGGTTTCATATATTTGCCAACACCACACAATATGCTTTGCATTGTCAGTCCAGGCCATTTTGTTATGTACACTGTAGATATGATCAACCAGAACCACACCCATTTCTCCATTTCCGTTTATGGACACATTATATCCCTAGGCAAGAAACACCGACGCCAACATGATGCAAATCTCTCTGGTCAAGCTCGGGTCACTCAGAAATCAGTGACACGGCCACCATAGCTCCAATCACCAGCTGCACCCCATCGCAGAGGCTCATTCTTTGGTCCACCAACTTCGCCAGTCTTGGGGTTCTTCTCGCCCTCAAACTCAGGCTGCAGCCCCTTCGGCGCATCGGGGTGAAGCTCGCCACCTTTGCCATCCGCCTGAATTTCGGCTTGTGGGGATTGGTTGACCTGAGGTGTACTAAATGCACCAGTCGAGCGCCTCTGGAGCTGTTCAAAGATCTCCTGTTCTTCCTTCGGAAGGCGCGGGGGAGCCGGGGAGTCTGAGAAGGGCATGGGCTTGTCGCTGCCGCTCTGACGCAGGAATCGAGTTGTGGAGAGCGGTCGGATTGCGCCGCGGACTGTGGCAGCCGAGAGAATTGAACTGCGAATAACGAGAGAGTACACCATTGTTTTTGTGTATGAGAGGAATGACAGGTCCAATTAGGCAAGTTTGAAGTTGTACGATATACGGGGAGATCTCGGGACCTCGGGCGGGCTTGTTGACTCACTCCACCGATGTGACTAAGACTGCCGATCCCGATATCGCCTTTTTATTTCTCCCAGCAGTCCGCTGATACCTACATATGTAGGTATGGTCAGACGGTTCTCTTTCGATATTCACCTCTCTTTTGCTGCAGGTTAGCTTTTATTTTCCTTCTATTCCTACAAATCAAAAGTTTGCCAGTTTGCCATGTCTGTACTCCGTGTGGCCGCGCGCCGTCTTCCTCGCGCATCCAAATTCGTCCCTGCTCTCGAGCCACCAGTACAGCGCCGACTCGCGACTACGTCCAATGCCCCTCAAAATGTGAAGTCCCAGGTCAAGGTATGCGTGACGAAAAGTCTCCAGGACAGCGTTCAAATTGGAACTAACGATAGCATAGAAGGAGACAACTCTCCCCAACCCCGACCCTTCGGCGGACTCAGTCACGGCGTCCTTCGTCAATGAGCGGGCTCCTTTCATGGTGCCGACCTACGTTCGCCCGGCTCCGATGATGATGAAGGGACAGGGTTGCTACTTGTGGGATATGGAGAACCGACGTTATCTGGACTTGACGGCGGGAATTGCAGTTAACTCTCTTGGCCATTGTGACCCGGAGATCGCGAAGATTATTGCGGAGCAGGTGCGAAATGCTTTTATGGACCGTATGCCGATAAATTGCTAACAAAAAGCCCTCAATTGCAGGCTGAAACCCTTATCCACGCTTCGAACCTCTATCACAACCCTTGGACCGGTGCTCTGAGTCAATTGTTGATTGAATTGACTCAGAAGTCTGGTGCTATGCGCGATGCCTCGCAGGTCTTCATCTCCAACTCCGGAACCGAGGCTAACGAAGCTGCTATCAAGTTCGCTCGCAAGACCGGCCGCACTCTGGACCCTTCAGGTGATAAGCACGAGTTCGTGTCCTTCAATAACTCGTTCCATGGCCGCACAATGGGTGCCCTCTCGGCCACCCCCAACCCCAAGTACCAGACTCCATTCTCGCCCATGATCCCCGGATTCAAGTACGGAGATTATAACCAGATCGACCAGCTCCAGACCCTTATTACGGATAAGACATGCGGTGTCATCGTTGAACCCATTCAAGGCGAGGGCGGTGTCAACATAGCTACCCCCGAGTTCCTTATCGCTCTCCGCAAGCGCTGTGACGAGACCGGAGCCGTCTTGATCTTC